CGTGGGGGGAGATGTTGCAGGGGGTGCAGCATCCCAGGCACAGCCTCGGAGCCCAGGAAGGGGGTCTGCAGCCCCTCTGGCTCGCAGCTGTGCCTCAGTTTCCCCTGGTCGCACAGAGAGAGGAGGGTCAGGCAGAGTGGGCTCAGCTGGGTTGCAGTGAGCTGAAGCTAACGGTTAAAGCAGAGACAGAGGAGAGGCGAAAACACCGGCGTCTGGGTGCGCTGCTCCCACACACGGAGAAAACGATGTGGTGTGGGGGGTCTCCAGACAGTGACCAATTTTCCTCCGTGCCTGCACAGCCTCAGCGCGGGAGAGGAAGGAGCCTGGGAGCAGAGGGGCTGTGGATCGCGCTGCTGCCATCCCCCACGGAGCCGTACCCCCCGCTCGGAAGCCCACATGCCGCGCCGCACCGCGCCGTGCCCCCAGCACGTGCCCAGGGCACCTGGCTTCTCTCTCCGCGCTGGGATGTGCCGTGGTTTGGGTGGTTTGGGGTTTTTTTTTTTCCCCTTTCCCCTCTTCTCCTTTTTTTTTCATTTATCTGCTTTTAAAATAATGTTACGTTACTCATCCAGAGCAGGACGTCTGCCCTCACCACTCACCGTGTTTGTCTGCATTGTTTCCTTCGGGGAGATGCTTACCCGCACACGGTGACTACTTGTCTGAGTCGTCACGGTGCCGAGCGGTGGGGATTACTCATGGTGTAAGGTTTGAGAAAGGAAGGGGGAGGCCAGATTTGCCGCTTTGTCTGCAGTTGTTCATTTCTCACTTTTTGAAATATTTTTTTCTTCCCCTCCTCTCTTTCTTCTTCTGCCAATGTTCTCCAGCCTGGCTCCCTGAGCTCCCTGCTCCTTGCTCTCACACACCGAGGCCAGAGCATCTGGCCAGATCCCTGCGGGATGTGAAACGGCCTTTGCTGCGCTGCTCCACAGGTGAAAAGGGGTCCCCTGTCCCCTCGCACCCGGCTGGGAGAGCCAGCCCCTCCCTCTGGGACCCCCCCATCCCGCTCTGACCACCGCCGCCAGCTCTGCCCGCCCCGCCTTTACCCGTTTCCACTCACTCTTGGCCCAACGCCCCCCCCC